CTTCAGCATTATTATTGGTGCCTAATGTTATTCCTGTGGCTTATGCTAGTGAGGTAAATCAGACCGACTGCTGGCTTTAACACTTCTGTACAGAGTACAGTATGCTGCTGACATACTAAATTCTCAGTATTAAATAAATTTTGAAATAGATTCCTGTGCCTTCAGCTATGCTAGGCATATATCTCTCCAGTGTCATGCTTACAACAGCACATGGTATATTAAGAAGCTGTCAAAGCTATTAAGGTCATTAACACTGGCACATATATTTGAGTCTATTCCTATGCGATTTAGGAGGACATTATTTGCATACTATTATGCACCAGGAAACCTATTCCTCATATTCCCACAGGAAACAACTCGCTGGAGTGACCTAAATAGTATTCACTATTCTGATTCAAAATATGAAGAAACAGCAAATAAATGAGAAGCAATTCTGCAGACAGATGCAGAGACTTTGAGAACAGTTAAGCAAAAGCCTGAGCTAACAAATGACAAATGCAGATGAATGTGGACAAATGTAGCATAATGAGTCTCAGAGGAGCAAAGAATAAAGAGGGGAGGGAGGAAGTAAATTATACGCTTAACGGGAAAAATTCTACTACAGCAGACTATGCATAAAATACCTGCCAGGTATTGCACCAAAACACCTCAAGCCTGCTGTCATAGACCTATGCAGCTGTTTAAAATGTTCTTTAGTAGCCAGTGGTTTAAAGAATTGCTTTATACTGCTTCTAATTGTTTAGCTTTCTTGTTATATTGCTGAACACCTACCTGGTATTTTATAAATACTTAAACAAATAAATTAATAGCATTGTCAAAGTAGATGCAGACCTAACTATTTCAGCAATCAGTATTACTCACAAGTCACTTCTCAACATCTCTAATAAGAAGGAAAAAGGGGTCTTAAAAAGAAAGAGCAGAAGGGGGAATTCTCAGAAACTCACATTAACTTTAGCTACACCTCATTGTACTCTGAAGACATGACAGCACTAGCAGTTTCTTAGGCAATGCACAGTGATTCATTTTTACTTACAGAGGTGCCAGAGCCCCAATCTGCCTGGAAGCTGCAGTTTGACGAAATGCTATGTTTCTAATCTGAGATGCATGTGAGCCAGCAGAGATTACCCGGTGCTGTGAAGAAAAGGCCTTCTGGACATACTTAGAGGCACTCTCTTTTTAAATTACTATTTTGCTTTTTTTTTTTTTCAGAGCCATACTCTATGAGTTTGCTCCAAAACTCAGTCTACAATCTTTTAGAGCATGTAGGTTACTGCCAGAGATTTCTAGTGTACAAAGTTATTTCTCCATGAAACACTAAGTGCTGGAATATATATTAAATGCCACAGAATTATTATAGCATTACAGAACATCCTTACTGAATTGTAGGTGTCGACCATGGTGCAGTTCTGCCAATTTAAAATGGCAAGTGGCTGAGGCCAGAACCTTACATTGATGACAGAATGACAATCGCACCTACAAGGTCATTTAGTTGTAAAATTAATGACTACACACACACACACACACACACACACACACACACACGAGTAATTACTATGCTTTAACTCCAATTTTATGGTAACATATAACAAAGTCTACTTAAGATTATTTCAAATGAGGTTTCCAGGAAACCTTATTTTTAATAGAATTTCCCAGACACCAAGTATAGTGTATGCTGTTTTCTTGTAATGGAAAGTTTTTGGAAATTTGAATAGGGTTAGTTAAATAAAAGCTTTTAAAAGCTTGGCAATCTAGTCCCAACAGACTGGGGAGTTTGTGCTGAGTCTATGGCCTACTTCAGGGATGGATAAAAGAATGAGGAAAGAAAAACCACTCCTCGTGGGATACAGGAGAGGAAAATGAAGCTCAAGTAGAATAGCTTGGGAAGTAGAATCTTAAGAGATGTGACTGACAGGTGAACTAGATGTTCAACAGAAATGCTTGCAACTTTCTTTTCCCCTTCTCCCCATGAAAAGCCGTTTATGAAAAATGTGAATTAATTTCTGATGTGTTTAACCCTTCCACCCCCAGCTATTCAATATCTCCCTCCTCCTGGGTGGCGTCAGGGAGAGGGAGAGATTGTCAGCCATATTTGCTCCTCCAAAAGCAGAAAAAGAGGTTGTGGGGAATTGAGTGGAAAACAGCTTCAGTCAGGAGAAAGTTACACACATTTGAATGGAAATGCCCAGTTTGGGTCTTATTCATAATAAAGAAAGCTGAGAGATAATCTGAAATGTAGAGAATAACATCAGTATAATCTAACAGCACTAGGCAGTAAGGTTGACACCTGATCTAGCTTTGAAAATCTTTGGAATATGTTGACAAGGTAAGGTAAAACATGCTTCTATAAGAAGTATCACCTCTCATTCTTGAAGAATGGTAGCAGCAAAAATTAGATTAAATTAAGTTCATCTGCCTCAGCATCCTTCAAGGCAGCCTGGAAATTTTAGTTCCTAGAGTTCCAGAGAAACTTAACTGGCCATGGAACGAGGAGATCAGACAGACCAAACACCTTGCAAAAAAAAATGGAACTACCTTCAAAATGTACTCATTGAGAACACTAGGCTCAGTAGCCAAAAGCTTTTAAATGCATCAAACACTTGTTATGCACCCTGGGATTCATATTTTAAGTGGGAAATGCAACAATCTAACTATTACTACAAACTGTAACTTGCAAAAGCAAATATCTTCCGTAGCAACAATAACATAGAAGCCCTCCCACACTGAGAGTAACAACTGGTGACTGACATTGATTGATGCCATATAGCACAAGCTACATTAGAGAGCTAGCTTGTCATCCTCAATGTACACTTGAATTTCTTTGGCACCAATGAAGACAACAGAACAAGAAGACGACAACAATATAACCTGGGAGTGCATGACCTGTGGATGATGGATGAGGAATGCATCCAATGTTTCTTGCACTTGTGACCTCTCTAGGAAGCTGGAAAAGTCCAAGGCAAAGTCATCCTATCTTACTTGAAAGATGCCCTGTTTTCAGCTCAAAACGCTAGAAATAGAGGCTTCCGGTCGGTGCCAGCGCTTAATGGCGGGTCCTACCTCCGAGCTCCGGAGAAGGACTGCTTCGCAAGTTCGGGTCTTACCCGCTACGGCGAGCGGGGGACCCCTAAAATCCCAGGCGCTGAAGCCTGAGAACAAGGAGACTCGGTGG